TGCCGAAGCAAGTGTAGCTGCTGATGAGACTGAGGGAACTATTTTTTTAGCAACTAATAATAGTTTCAAATCTAACATTGAGTAAATTTTAGATTCGGGTTGTTCTTATCATATGTGTCACAATCGGTAATTATTTACCACATATGAATCTATTGGAGGTGGAGTTGTCTTGATGGGCAACAATTTTACCTGCAAAATTTTTGGAAAAAGTACAGTCCAAATCAAAATGCACGATAGTGTGGTCAGAATTCTCACTGATGTTAGACATATTCCTGACTTGAAGAAAAATCTCATCTCTTTGGGTACTCTAGAATCTCTTGAGTGCAAGTACACAGGTGAAGGTGGAGTTCTGAAAGTTTTTCATGGTGCTTTTGTGATCATGAAAGCACACAGATCTGGTTCGTTGTATACTTTATTGGGATCCACTGTTATAGGCCTTACTACAGTTTCGGTATCAGACAACTTGTCTTATTTTGATGGCATTAAATTTTGACATATGCCCATTGGGGCTTTTGCGAAGAAGGTGAAGAAAATTTACTATATCAGCCAAAATTAGGCCAAGGTGGAGATTTGTAATTATGGCCAATATTTTGGCTAATAGAGTCCATCTCACATAAGCATAAGCATCTTTCCAAAGTGTAGACTTTGTTGGCAATATTCTTTGGGATCCAAAAATATTACATTGTGTGTTGGACATCATTTGCACAAGTTGTATCTCTTCTTTTACACCTAAGAGGCCAAGACTTTTTTGCCTATAAAAGGGAAGACTATTAGTTCATTTTAGACACACCAACAAGACTTGTCTTTAATTCTTGTTTCTTCCTTTCTTCCTTTATTAGGAGTGTTTTGTATGAGAGTTAGTGTTGGGAAGCACTTGTGTGAACCCTTTCTTTGGAGTGATCTTGTGAGGTTATTCTCTTAGGGTATTTGGGTGTAATTAGAGTGTTTACTCTAATTTTGTACTCTTATTGTTATAGTAAATTGTTCATCTCCGCTTGTGGACGTAGGTCACTTTGACCGAACCACGTTAAATTTGTGTCTTCTTTATCTACTTTAATTACCGTTGTTATCAACTTCAATTGTCTTTCTTATTGTCATTATACCGTTATTTGGCTAAATTCCGCATCACCCGGGTTACCAATCCTAATAGATACACTGAAAAGCTGGGAGAAGAAATCCGATAAGTGTTATAAATGTAGTACTTACATGTGTAGGCGTTGTTTATTGAAAGATTTTAAGATCCTTGCCTCAATCACAAGACGAGGCATTCATCAAATTAGCTTTGGATTTCAATGGTAATTGCCTTTTTACACGGATCGTTTTTCTTTGTGTTTTTTTGGTTTAACAACAATATGATGGAAGTTAAAATTTACGACATACAATTTAGTAATTTTTAATTTTTTTTATAAGTTGGGTCATAGATTAAATGATGAGTAATCTGTAACCTTAATGCAGGTTTGAATGAATCAGCATAGCAACTACGCAAGAGTACTTCAATAAATAGGTCGGTGGGACATAGCATATCTAAGTTATAAACCGAATCAAGTTTAGAGGGGTTTATGTATTGTTCTTTATTATTAAATACATTACTATTACCACGTGATAGGAAATGAACTTACTGTTTTTTCTATTTCCTTGGATAGTATGATGTATAGTCTATTAGAAATCTGAATTTAGTGACTTCTTATTGACACTATAAGACTGCTATAATATATACTTTAATGATATATGGTATGCAAGGTGGATTTAGGATTTTGAGAATATGGGTGCATCATTGATATTTCAGAAAAATTAAAATAAAAGAATGCGTTGCTGTCAAAAAATAAGGAAAAGAAAGGCTTAAGAATAATAAATTAAAGCAGTAATTTTGAAGGGATTTGATCCCATAACCTTAAGTTAGCAAGAAATAAGGGGCCAAGACCAGCGAACCACTTTATCTCTTTTGACCATGCCATCTAGTAATAATAAATTATTTTTCGTAAATTATGTACATAATATATTTGATATCATCGGAGGATCACGGATTCACGTGAAGTGGCATCCAGGAAGTGGCATCACATGATATCATCCTTTCTTGACCGCAAATTTGTACAAACGCTTTCAACAGACAGATATTATTGCAATTACAGGTCCTATAGCACTCACCGCCTGATCAAACTTGCTGCTGCGGACAACACTACTTTCACGGAATTCTATCTGTTCTCACGTTGTTCTAGTTGCACCTTTTTCGATTTGTCCCCCCCGCAACTTTTGAGTCAAGATTATTAACCGTCCTGCACTTGAAAGGTTGCACCCTTAAGGAGGAAAACTTTGGTGATATTAAGGAGTTTCTGTAAC